GCGGGGGCCGGTGGCCCCTGGGGGCGGGGATGGCCCCCGGGGCCCTGGCGGCTCCACCCGCCCAGTGCTTAGAGGGCCTAAAGCGGCAGCAGCAGACAACAACGTCAAGGCGGACGGGACAGTCGCGGAGCTGTCTCTGGACACGCACTTGTTTGTCTGGAGCGTGCGGAGGGAGGACGGCATTCCTTTGCTATTTTCCACGCCTCGTGTTTTTGTCCCTTTCCCCGGCCGCGCGACACTTCCTCGGGTCCGGACGGAAGGATTTTGACGTAAGTTATACCGTTATTTGGCCGCGGGCTCGCGCATAAGTTTCCGCACCTCCCACTACTCCCGTCACCAGACAGGCTCGTCTGTCTCGCTCGCACCCGCACAGACAGGGCACGTCCAGAGGCCACCGTCTCTCTCGCACTCACTCACACCCGTGCGCGACGCACACGTCAGGCTGTGACAGCGCGGCGCCGGTCTCAATGCCCCCCGCGCAGTCACCGCCGTCCGTGACCACAGCCGCCCCACCACGCCCCACCACGCCCCACCCCGCCACGCCCCGCCACGCCCCACCCCGACCCACCACGCCTCACAAGGCCACATAAATCTCAGCACTTGTGATGAAAGCTGGAAGCAGGGAGATAGGCCTGGCTAAGTTGTGTTGACCGGCCCTGGCCTTCCCAGACCCGCAACGGGTTCAGCGTGGCGGCGTCGAAGCCGTGAAGCATGAGGGAAAGACCAACAATGCCAGAGTATACGAAAGAAGTTATGGAAAAAGATGAGACGGTCGGAACTTAAAGTAGTTACTTTTTATTTTGTGACAATCGGTCGGAAATGTGCTCTGGTAACTTATAAGTAAGTGCCAGAACATACGAACCTCTGAGTAACAGAACGAACGAACATGCTCCTGCTACCAACTCTAGGTACTAAAAACTAATCACCACGACAATTGTCACGAAATCAACTAATTTTATGTTTCTGATGGGCTCTTTTCTTTAATCGTGTACTACTCTCTTAAATCCCTTTCCTTTGTACCGTTTCCCTTTTAGGTCCAAAAGCGAGCTCCGGTTCCGCAATAAGGGACGAGGAAATAGGGTGGACGCTGCGATGCGGTTCCCTCCGGTCCCCTCCCTACCCGCCCAACGCGACCCTCCCCTTCCCTGCTCGCTCGCGTGAGGGGAGATGGAGAGGAAAATGAGCGAGAGAAAGAGATGGACGAGGCAGGAAGTGTAGTGCCCTGTGAACACGCCGGCATAAATCTGGCCGTCGCCACGTTTTGTTTTCGCTGTTTTCCGTTTTCTTTCTCTTTATTTTTTGCTTTCTGGCTGGAATGGTCTTCCGCCAAGACCTCCCCGTCGACGCCGGCCAAAAGGCCTTGTGCTCTCCAGAAGGTCTCTCCAGGGGTCTCTCCGGCCGAGGTCTCTCCAGAGGCCTCCGGCCCTGGACTTTCTTATTGGATGCTGGGCGGCGTCTGTTCGACTCATGCGAGGGCCGCTCGTGCAATTTCTATATCCCCGTCTTCACCTTCTCTCAGGGGACACCCAGCTCGAATCTCTCTCTTTCTCTCTCTCCCCCCCTCCCCCCCTCTCGACCCTCTGCTCTCCCGCCGGTGCCTCGCTTGCCGCGTTGCGCCGGGGGCCGCGTCGGCTGAGCAGGCCCTTCTCCGCTTCCTCCTGAGCGCTGTAGTTGTTGATGTTCGATTTATGTCTCCGCCACAAGTTTCCTCGCTCTGCCCTTCGCCAATAAATCGCCAAGCCCGTCACGCCACGCCCCGCCCCGCCCCGCCCCGCCGCACAGGATGCGC